CATATAGTTTCACATAGCATGTTGAAGTTGTGTAAGAATAATAGCTACTAGTAATATTGTATTGTAGCTGACACACCCTCAGTGCAAGAAGCAACGCTAATGCTAATGAGCCCTCATCCCTACCGCTGTCAGACTGTACAATAAGTCACTTTAATTACCTGCGCTAGGACACACTCGCACTGCTATAGTCTCTTTTGATTTAATTGCACATAATATATCTTACACAAAAGAAACTATCTTTTCACTATTTCTGTCTCTTGCACAACCTGATTGATTCTATCTTTGCCAAATATGATGTAAATTTCTCCATTGTGAGATCAATAACGTTTTTCTTTAAAAGTAGTGCAGTTATAGTCAGTTGTTTTGGGTGATTACCATGGCTATATCTTTAATTCATCCTTACAAGACCATGATTAGTGTAACCCAAAGTAATGAAAATCTAGTTTCTCAGGACAGATTTTAAAATGGCTTCTGGATGAGGCTGCACGATTTAGAAGAAATGTCTAATTGCTCTTATGTGATTTCTGCTTTGACGGTATAGTGAAAGCTTAAAGTGCACATGGAGTAATCAGATTTAGGGAAAAAAATATTTTAGTATTTATTTTTATTTGAAGATATCTTGACAGGAACACAATTTCTCACTTGAAATAATATGAATTGTCTACCAAATACTTACTGCATTATTTTTCTGAACCGGTTTTGCAGTTCTAAGCGCATGGGTATGGATTGATTTTTATCATATATGATAAGAATTGGGGGCGACAGTGGCTCAGTTTGTAGAGCATTGGCCCTGGGGAAGAAGATGGATGGATGATAAGAATTGATGTTGGTAAAGGAAATGTCCGATGGATAATTGCTAATTGCGCTTTCTATTACTGATTACCACTTTCTAAATGTTCTTCCAGATCCCCTCTGGACAAAGGGGGAATTACACCAATGCAAAGATTTGGACAATTTGGACAAAATATATTATCGTTTATAATTAATTATTGACAATATTCTTTCAACGTTTTTACATTGCATCAAAGTGGTCGAACTAAAGTACTGCATTTATCACCCTTGTTGGACTACACTGCATGGTCTTGGTCTGTTATCAACTCTTTTCTTATTTTGCACATCTCTCAAACCAAGCACACGGTGGTCTCGTATACTGATGTCTGCTCTTATATGCCAAGTCAGTTGTTATTCTCAGAAGGGCAGTGGTTTTACAATGTCTCCTTAAGCACCCTTAGTGTGACCGCTCTCTGTCAGGAGTGGTGGCACTGCATGCAAGATCGTGCAACGCTGCGGAATAATGCAGCACTTTTCCCAGTCCCTCATCCGTGACAGTGTGAGTCCTTTCGTCACTCCTTCTCCAAGTCCACTTCACTGGCACCCTGACAGAGACTGCACTGATACTTCTGACACAGTTTGCATCATCAGGCAATTTTACAAGTGTTTTAAGTTGACCACAAAGGGCGAGAGCGGGCAGTAGCGTGCTCCTGAAGTGTCCCAAAGAGCAAGTTTATTCAAACACAATCATCCATTTGTTTAGGACTGCACAATCAAATGTCCAATTAGCAAAGACTATCTTAATTCAATAAAGGGACTAAAGATAAGCGGATAACTGGAATTTGGGAAAATGACGCAAAAAAACATGTTCCCCAGGGTCACAGGCCTCCCCTGGCATCACACTGCGTCCCCCCAGGGGAGTGGGCTCACTATTTGAGAAGCATTGTTTTAAGTTAACAGCTTATACTATATATATTTTATTTATTTCTAGTGAATCTTTTATTTCCACTAGTTGTACTAGTTGTACTATTTGTTAGATCTGTCAGAAGACATTTTCTTAAAGATGAGGGAATTGTGTATTCTTCATATGTATGCTTTTTCAAATTATAAGTTATCTGAACAACATTTTTTAATTAACAGTAGAGTGAAAATCACATTGCAATGTTGGTTATACATAATGTAATGAGATATTTTGCAGTCCTACTACATATATTAAAGTTCTTCACTAAGAGTTGTCAAATTTCCCCAAATGTTCATAGTTACAGGTCTGGAGCTGTAGTCATGCATCATATTGTCCTGATACTGGCTCCATTTCTGTCTCTGCAAACCTCCTTTATCTGACTTTGACCTACATGAAAACAAGGTTGCTTCTACATGAGGACTTTGGATTAAATGGCCTGATAGAGAACTTCAACTGGTTCAGGAAATCTGTATTCAAATGATGTTTCATGAAATTACAGATGTAATCGCCTCCTAAAGGAATACACACATTGTCTCCCATTTCAACACTCTTTTGTGTGTGAGAGATTTAATACTTTTTATCTCACATTTATGTATGCACATTTACATGTATCATTTGTTTTCAATACTTATGAACATTTGTCAATTTATCACGTGTTTATCTTTGACCTGGTCTTTCCTTTCTGCTGCTGTCAGACTGTACATTGAACAATCAAGACTAAACAAACACTGGCCTGACCTCACTTGTCATGCATTTGTGCATTACTGTCAGAATGTGCAATATGGGACCCCGTGCGTCCACTGTCACTTTACTTTCACTTTTAGCCCAGAACCTCATGCCACTAACATGTACTGTAGGATCACATCCCCACAGTAAATATTTGAACGACTTAATGACTAATATATTATTCTTGAGTGAAATATAGATTTATCCACAGATGTATACACATTTCTTGCACAAGATTTGATTTACTATTTCAAGTATGGAGTTGTGGTATACTTAATTCTCACTCATCTTGTGTTTTGTGCTCCCCATTCCTACTCTTCTGTAACTCTTGATGCAACACTGGACATTGTAAAGCGCTTTGGGGGACCTTGGTCTGTAAAAATGTGCCATATAAATAAAGAAGACTTTCTTACTGACATTTCCCTACTAATCTCTTAATCTTAATATTAGTCTAACTGAATGCCATGGCTGCCTTATTTGTACATACAGTATCATATCTGGTAAAGCTTGAAACCAAATCAAAATCAGATCAGATAATGATAACTTCTTCTTAGGTAAAGTTTTTTGTTTATGCATCTTTCATTAGTCCTGCTCTGCTGCATGGCTGTGATTTTGTGCTGCATAATAATGGCCTTTAAATAAAACAAGAATCAAGAAGCAGCATCTGGAGGCAAAGATAAACAAAAGTCATGCCTAAATGTCAAGCGTTTCCAAGTTTATTTTGCAGATGAGCAGATTTGATTTGTAAGGAAACAGCATCTGTTCTAGTGTTTCCGTGGATTTCTTATGACTGTGGGTAATTCTCTCTCACCATAAATTGGATTGGCGATGACAGTAGCACACCTGTAATGCGGCAAACAACTAAATACGCCGTAAGAATTAACTTTACAGCCGGTTGTTGATATAACGTTTTGGTTTAGTATCAGATCGTTCAAACTTGGACATGTTTTCTATGTTTTCTGTTTAGATCTCTTAGATTTGTATTCATCTCTTTTCGTAGGTCAGGACTTTGACACTGGACTGGAAATACTAAACCACAGCAGCATACGAAAACAACTGCTTGGGGATTCATGGATTTTGATTTGGATGCATTTTAACATGAAAGAAAAACTTGTTGTGCCTTTTATGTGTCTAAGATTTTGATTCAAAGTATGAAGGACCAAACTTGCATGTGTTTACCGTCACAATTGATTTTAATATTTCAAAATAATTAATGAATTTCCTTGGGAAGATTGCGATTGTCGTTTCATACAGCAACTTCTGCTCAAATTACTAATGACATTTTTACAACATGACGTTGGTGATGGAGTCGTGGTTTTGAGAGGACTGCGTAATAATCCTCCGAACGGTGGCAGTAGGGCATGGGTTTGAATCCTGATTTGAAACAGGACCTAAGTGGAGTTTGCATGTTCCTGTCCATATGCATAGGTTTTTCTTTTTTACAATAGGTTTAATCCTCTGGTAGTACTGCCAGAGCTGGGCATCGACACCTGGAGATTGTCTGTATGGAGATGTATGTTGCAGGATGGGTCAAACGCAGAGCCGTTATTTTGACTGCTCCCATTCAAATAAATGGAATTCTGAGAAAAACATGGAATAATTTAAAAATAAACTACATAAAGTTACTGAAAAAGTCACAAAGTTATGAAGACCACAAATGGACGCTGCATAATTACACCTACAAAACTAGAAGCTGTCAAATTGGTGACATGGTCTAATATGTTGTAAATGTCTACTTCTTCAAACATCACATATATTCACAGTGGTATTGAATATAATTACTATTTTGAAATCAGATTTTAGTGCTGCTTAGAACCGCCAGGTCTGGTTATCCATTACACACAGACACGCATCCAAAAGGGCAGATAAACATATGTTAATGTATTCTTTCCAATTCACAGATGCTTCAGCCACACTGTACATATAATAATCCTTGGAGGCATTTTAGACACTAATGGTTCGATAGTACCAAGACACAGTTGTACGCACACGGCCTCTGACAGACATTCAATTAGGAGGTTTGTGAAATAACAAGCAGCCTAAATAGGATAACCCTAGACAGCCTGTTAATGGTTGAAATCAAGTCTAATCAGCCCACATATATATATATATATATATATAACTGCTAGTGTGCTGCTGTCTGCATTGATTGCACACAGCTCAATACGCTCCACACATTTCTCAGTCTCTTTTCATTGTTTTTCCTTTCTTTTCAACCACCTGTCGATACTGTGTCATTGCATCCACTTGTGGGCATAAATAACCAATTATTTTTTGGGTTAACAAAAGTGGATCTATATTTTTTTTTCATATCTTGCAATTCATTTATTTCAAGTGCCCACCTGGTCCAAATGTTGTGTAAACCTTGTTAACTTTTGGAGAGGTCGTCTTTGCCCTTGTGTTGTTGGTTGTCTGTGTGTGTCACCACTTATAAGAGATTTAAACGACGCAGGATAAAAGGGCAAAAATACAGTATATATATGTAATAGCACCAACCTTTCAAATGTTTTCTAACTGCGCTTCTATCGATTTTCTCTTGCAGTTCCTCAGACGAGCAGTACCGCTGGAATGCACAAGGTAATATTTTTTCTTCATGGAATATTTTGAGTTATTTTTGATGGTGACGCTTATTTAAAAATCTCTGATCCGTAATTAGTTGTATTTGTTAACAGATTATTTTATATATGTTCTTATATGTTAATGCCTCAAAAGATGTTTGTGTTTACATTTGCCACACCCCCTTTTTAGTCGATTTATAGATCAACCAGGCATTTCGTCTGCCAATAAACAAATTTTTCTTTAGCAGGATTGATTTGCCGTCTTTGTCTATGCCATCTTTCTAAGCATCTTTTCTTCCCCCTGACAGCAGATGGGCAGAAGGATATTGAGGATGAGCTGACCACAGGCCTTGAGTTGGTGGATTCTTGCATTCGTTCCTTACAAGAATCTGGCATTCTGGACAGTGCGGACCGTACGTATAGAGCAACTTTTTTATTTGTCAATTTGCTTATGACAGATTTTAAGCTTGATTGCAGTAACAGGGACAACAGAAGTCAAAAGGACACTATATTCTAATTTCTCTATTTTAATTGCCCTAAAATAGACACTATGTTAGTTTACTGTCAAATGCACTCACTGATGAGCTGAAATTCAAATACATTTGAGCAGAATAAGCAAAACACCTCTGCACTATATCCCATATGTGCCTTGGACAGTCAAGGCTTGCTGCCAAATATATGATTAGTTGTGCAATAGAGGCCCACTGCTTTATTCCTAGTCCATTTAGTGTGATTTGTGGCTTTAGTGTTGTGATACTCTCAGGAAATCAGAGGCGTGAGTGGCATACAGGCTGTTGTATGGGCACTTGCTAAATGCGCCTGGCATTTTCATTGCAGGTCACTGGTTTGGAAGACTGCATTCCCATTCTCACTTATTGTCTGCTGACCTTTTTGATAGTTGATATTGCTTTAATGGATGACATTTCAGAAGTGGCTATGCACATATCGCTGTGCACAACGTGACTAGTTTTTATTTTTCTTAAAACACATTTAAGTTTGGGTGTGGACAAATATTTACACATTAAAAAAGTCCAACCATCCTGGCCGTGGAACAACTCTCAGATCGGATACTCCAGCAATCATGGGTGTTTTGTTAATCTGGAAAAGGTGTTCTCTGAGGTGTCCATCTCCAGATGATGGCGAGGTCCTTTCTCAAGAGGAGGAGTTCAAGTATCTCGTTGTCTTGTTCACGATAGAGTGTGAGATTGACCGACGGATCGGTGCAGCATGTGCAGTGATGTGGTCGCTGTATCGGACTGTTGTGGTGAATAGGAAGCTGAGTCGAAAGTCAAAGCTCTCAATTTACCGCTCAATTCCCACTCTCACCAGTAGTCATGAGCTTTAGGTACGGAAAAAGGACGTGATCATGGACACAAACCAAAATGAGTTTCCTTCGCATTGTGGCTGAGTGATTTCTAAGAGATAGGGTGAAAAACACAGGAGGAGCTCAAAGTAGAGCTGCTGCGTCTCCACGTTGAGACGATCCAGCTGAGGTGGCTTGGGCATTTGTTTCCAATCCCTTTTGAAAACCTCTCAGAGCATGTCCCAATGGGAGGAGGCCCTGGACACACTGGAGAGACTATGTCTCTCAGTTGCCCAAGGAACACTGTTGACACAACCTTTACCTAAATTATTTACCATTATTTTTTGTACAACTTAATTCAAAACTGACACCATATTTATGCAGGGCTTCAATTTTAAAGTTGATTTTCCTTTTGCTCCATAACATTTTCTGAACAGTTAGACTAATTAGAAAGGTGTTATTGCATTCCCTGTCAACATAATGTGGTGTCTAGCACTGGCTGTTCTCATATGCAAAGACACATTTCTACATACTTGATGACTTCCCTGTCACAGACAGACTCCGCTGTTACATCAGACGCTGTGACTGATACAGTTTAGCCAGGAATGTGCAACAAACACCACAACTGAAGATAAAATTGGGAGCCGACTGAGTGTGTAACTGAAAGTGCTGATTAATAATTCATAAAAAGCAAGCAAGGAAGAGAAAGATGAGTCTTTTGTGAGGGCGAGAAGCAGAGGAGTGGATCCTGGTTCACAGCGTTAAGACTCATAGTTTGAAGAGGATTCTGGGAAAGTGTGGGGATATAGAGATATGGCGATGAATAATAAGACGCATTTGTTATATAGGATTTGTGAAGGATCTAACATGCAATAAGCTTTGGAGTAGGCATTTTCCATACATTTAAAACCAAGAATATTGAGGTTAGACAAAGCTATGGAAGTTTGCCTCTCCTCTGCTGTGGATCTATAAAAAAACATAAATGCTCTGCATTCACTAAAAGTTATCAAATATGTATGCACTGCTAGGAGCACAGGTCATAGACCTAACTGCCCTTCAATAAAAGTAAACCGTGCAAACACCCACTCACACACATCCGACCAATATAACTGCCCCTTCACTCTGCTGCCTGCTGCATATAGTAGAATGTGGTCCCCTCAGGTCTTTTCTAGACTTATTATCATCACTTTTTTGGTACACATTATGAGTTGAGACATTTCACTGTATATTTAATATTGTCCTGAATAATATGATACGTTTTGAAAAGTAAAACTATAGTCAGCCTTATCTGAGTCGTCGCTATATTTGTCAGTTGGTTTAGTCCATTACAACTTTTATCTGTCCAAACCCTGCCATCCAATCCATGCTCTGGCTCCCCTCCTGTACTCTCCATATTTCTCTGCTCCTCTTTCGTTCTGCTAATAAATTATGTATGCCATCTCCAACTCACAGAGTGCTGCACTGCTGCACTATCTGCTCTAAATTGCTGCTCTCTCTCCCCCATTTTCCTCTCAATCGCTCCATCGTCTTCTCTCACTGTTAATCTGTCCTCCTTTCTGCACGCGCCAACTTACTCCTTCTCTTCTTTTTTCCACATACTCTTTCAAATATTGACAAACTAAACTCATCGCTTGTCTAACTCCCTCTTTCGCTTGTCCGCCCCCAACTCTCTCCGCTATAGGACCAGCTCTTCTTTCCCAGAGTTCTTTGCAGCTCAACTCCACCCCTGAGGGTTCTCTCCAGTACTCTGCCAGCTACCATAGCAACCAGACCCTCGCCCTCAGTGACAACATCTCCTCCAGCGCGGGTCCTCATCGCAGCGGGCAGGTCGGGGGAGCAGTTCACAGCTACAACCAGGTAGGACTGCATCAATACGCATGGGAGATATGTCCGCTATAGTAACATTGGACAGTGTCAATAAAACCTGCGTAGTGTAAATGGCTATACATCTTTGGGATTCTTGTTTTCCCAATACTTGTTTCCCTCAAGCATTTAGGTATTTTTAGACTCTGTTATGCATTGGATTATTTTGACACTTCCCTATACATACACAAACTTAAATATCCAGGTCTATGAAGACACATATCTGAATCTCTAAGCTTGTATCAATTTTATAATAACAAGAAGGAAGGATAAAATATAACATAATACTTACTTTAATCGAGTGTTTTTCATCTTGAATTGAATGTATTTTGATTGTTTGTGCAATTGCAGTTTATTTCTCATTCCAAGGAAGAATTGTTTTGTCTTTTTTAAAACATGACATCTTTGCTTGCTCCCTTGACATGTATTTTGTTTAAAGACAGTCACAACATACTTTTTGCATTGCCTTTGGGAAGCTTCATTAGTTGTTTATTTTGGGAAAACTCAGAAAGAAAATGGTGCCATTGTTTTAATGGCAGCGTGGTGCACTGTTGCTGTTACTTGAATAGCACTTTACATAATGATAACAAAAATTATGCAAAGTACATAACCATTTATCTGGGGCAAACCTCTCGCTAATTACATTGTCCTTGATTTCAATTAGACTTATATGTCTATCTTTGCTTGCTCTATAGCTATTCAAAGTAGTAAAACTTAAACAAGCTGTCTTTTAAAACACCTTTTGCCTGTAGCTGTCAGCCCCTGCAGTCCTTTCTCTGACATCTGGTTAACATAATTGAAAAGTAAGAAATGTAGGGACGAGCGTGCAGGAAATCCTATGTATGAAAGTCATTTGTAGTTTCATATTTCTGCTGTGTCTGTCCTGCCCTCTACTCCTCCTTCCCCTCCTCCTCTGCCCCTTCCTCCCTCCCTGTCATTTATGTGTGTGTGTATATCTCTGGCGCTGATGTTTTTGGCTTGTCACTGTAATGGGGCCAGCATTGTCAGCAGCGGGGCTCGTTGTTCATAAAAAGCCCTCTACACAGGCCACTAGTGCTGACAGCCAGGTGCAAACCACATGCATGGGCAATTCATGTTATTTTGGGCACTTGTTATAAGGGCTTTAAATGTCATATTAGTCATATTGCAGCTGTCTTTTATGTGGTAGTATAAATAAGTACACAAATGCTACCCTGAATGTCAGTTACTTTTCAAATTGTGACAAAAGAGTGAAAAGTTTTGATAAGGAGCACTGGCAAGACCCGCCCTTGCTCACTCCTGCTTGGTCCTGATTGGTCCTGATTGGTCAAAATATCATAAAATCCTTGAGGCTCCTCATCATTGGTTTTACTTATGTCCAGAAAATCTTACTAATCGTAGTTATGCCAAGAAGAGGGACTATTATTATGGTCTTATTGTTGAAAAATACTGACTGTATATAACGGTACAGTGTCCCATGGTCATATGATTATAGGGTTGCTAAAAAGAAATGACCCAGAAGCAATCAACACTAAATTTAATGTATATATTTTCTCTAATCTATCTAAAAGAAGAAAATAGTTACCGGTAAATTGTAAAAACTCTTTAGTCTTAAATGGTAAAACTTTAAGGTAAAACTATTCTAATATTTTTGTTAGCCAAAGTGTATTTCTGTGGGTAAAAATACACTAAAATAACTGACCAATGATTCGAGAAAGATGAATGAACTGGTTTGTTGATACTGTATGTACGGGAAATTCTCCATACTGTACAATAAAATAATTTTCCATGAAGAAGTAGTTCGATGACATTTGAGAGAGTGGAATCAGCGTGTGTAAATTTGTCCATGAATCCACTGCTCTGGGGGTATTTATAACTCTGAGAGGACCTGCGTTAATAATGCATAAATACAGCCACCTCAAACATTTCAGTGTTTTACTCGGGGACAGAGACTCATTCTGGGACCGAAAGCTCTCTGCACCGTAAACACAGTGTCAGGGGTTCTGTATATTAGTTAAGCCAGCCAACAATTCATCTGCGCTCATAAGTTATTTAGCTCCTGAATGGTGCGTCCATCTATCCATCGTCTTGCGTCTTCGCCACTTTCCTCCATGACTCTTAAGTCCATTTATGTTTCACTTTGCATCGTGATGGCGCTAGCACAGCTGCAGTGTTCAACGCATAAAGCATTAATAGGCTTCTCAGACTTGGTTTTTGTGCCCCGAGTCTCATCTCTTGGCTTCATAACCTACTAAACCAACACAGGGGCCTCTTTATAAGCGCTTTTACGGCACAGACTATTATGAAAAGAGCCTTGACTAGTTTAATATTGCACTTTATAATAACCCCTTGTCCCCATGCACTAAAACAAGATGATTGCTTTGTATGATGTTCAAAATGTGCATCTACTGTGGCATAATTAAAACATAAATATATAAATGGGGAATCTTTTTAAAGATAACAGCAGTTAATTATGTAAATGTGTACTTTTAATTAAGTTCACAACACCACCATTTTTTGCTGCAAACACTAGAAAGAGAAGGAGTAATCTTGTCTGGCTCCTGTTTCGTAAATACACATCTGAGGCTTTATACAGAAAATATAACGTTTTGCGAATATATTGTAAAAATAGACGGGATCTCGTTTTAACTATATGATTTAGTTTTAATTGAGACTCGACTTGGATTTTCAGATTAACATGGAGATTCTTTTCAACATAGTAGTATATAGAACATTTCAATATAACAAATTTGATAATGCAAAATCACAATGACTACGAATGGCGACTAGCTATTTCTGTATACAGTGGCAAGAGAAGATATGTGAACCCAAAAGTATGTGAACCCGTTTGAATGACCGACAAAATTCATCTGATCCCCATCCAAATCACAAGGATAAACAAACACAGCCTGGTTAAACCGATGCCTCACAAACAATTGCATGTTTCAATATTTTCCGACAGTAGAAGCCCCCTCTGTGGAGTATTAGCTTGTTTCTTGATACATATTTTGCATATTGTACATCAAACAACGACGTCAGCGCGTGCTAGAGATTTCTTTAGGTTGACACTTTTGCGTTCACTTTTACTTCATTTCTGCGGTGCTTTCTTTCAGTCCTTTCTACAAAACGCCCACTGCTTGGGAGAGTAGCAATAGTCCATTTATTGACAATTGGTAAAACTGTGGACTGAAGAAAAACAATTTTATAGATACTTTTGTGACACTTTCCCGCTTTCGCTCATTGGAAGTTTTAAGTCTCGTCTTAAGACACATTTTTACTCTCTGGCTTTTCACACCGCATGAGTAGTGTGGTCCTCTTTTAATTTTTTTTTTTTTTTTTTTGACAAGATAACTAGTATTTTATTTTTATTTTGATCACATTTTTATTTTTAACTGGTATTTTATTGTTTTTTATTATTATATTTGTACTGTTTTTACTTTGTGCATAATGTTTTGCTTCTATTTTATTTAATTTTTTTAAACATAAGGCTGTCAAACTTTAAATGTGTTGATTTTATCTCTGTGCAGCAGTTTGGAAACTGGCCCAAAAGGCAAAAACTGCAAAATGATGGATTTAATGAAAGTAATACAAATCAAGACCTACCAAAAATACAGGGAACGGACAGAACCAAAACAGACTAGGAATGACAATGACGGAACAGGGAGTGAAGGAACACACAGGGCTAAATACAAGACTAACGAGACACAGGTGAGACTGATGAGGGCAGGGCAGGTAATCAGACAACAGGAAGTACAACAAAAGACACAGGGATAACACATTTCAAAATAAAACAGGAAATAAACTTAAACCATGACAATGTGCTACATAAATAAAGTGGATTGGATTAAATATGAGTCAACAATTCTTAGTAGTGGGTCTTCTCGGAGCTCCTTTAAGCTCTACATGGTTCTCACAAGACAATGCTATTGGACATACTGTAGTGTAAAACTGTCCTGTCGAACTGAAAACCTGCCTGGTCTCATTGATAGTAATCCTGATCCTGATTCTTGACGGGCTCTGGGAGATGTGATTCAACTACGATGTTATTCACATACCGTTCACATATTTTATCCTACAACTGTGTCTTTTTATCATCTCAATGTCCATGTGCATTGTCCCTTCAAGTAAACACAAAGGTCAACTACTTAATATAACACTAAGCTGAGCCCAGTTCCAATTTATATTAGATAAAACCACCCATCCATCCATTTTCTTCCGCCTCATCCGTTGTTGGTATATTAGAAAGTATATTAGCTGTCAAAGTTGATTGTATCTGTGAGCGTTGTTGATCAATCACCTTTTCTTCTGGCTTTAACACGACTAAATGTGTGTTGATAATTCTCTGACATACAGTATGCCCCTCTTCCAGTATCTGCAAACAAGAAAATATTAGAGATGAGCTTCGTAACATTGCCTCACAAACTGGCACATTACTTTTCCCCCTGTAAAAAAAAAAGAAAAGAAGAAAAACTCCCAGCATACTGTATTTCAGAATTGTAGATGAGCTCCCATTTGCATTTCTTTCTACTTATCTATTTTTAATCTTGCCTCAAATTAAGACAACTCAAGATGGATGGTGTGTACTCTTGGCGCACATAGAGAAGATTATTTTAAAAACCTTAAATCAATATGACCGATCAATGTGCAAATGATGTCTTGTGGAATTTTGGCAACAATTTTGTTTGCACATTTACTATGATAGCGTTTTAACTATGATGGCCCAAGAAATGGTAGTTTTCAGCCATTGCCGACTGAGAAGTTGGTGAACAAGGCTTTGCGAGATTTGAATTCAACTCGTAACGCTGCAGGACTCTTTGGTCTGTCTATGCAAGTCTGGTTTTCTTTTGGGATTTCATTACAAGCTTGCTCTGGTTCCTCCATGACATTTATGATGGCCCTTACTCTATATTCTCTTTCATCTTAACTCTCTGCTCTAATGCTGTCTCTTTCTCTAACCCTGTCTGTTGTGAATGCCTCCAGGTGACATCCAGCCGTGCAGCCCAACACCAACAGTCACAATCAGCGGCAGGGTCAGGTAAGAACGCCACAATTTTTTAATCTTTGGTTCGATTTAAGTTCATCTGACGTCGTATGCACACACTGACTGACATGAATTTGGATTGCTGGAAACAGTCAGAGCGTATACACTGCATACTAGAGTGCTTTTGTTTTCTACTGTGGGTTGCCTATTAGAGGAAATTTACTTATCAAAATTGTCTGCCTGTGGATCAAGATTTTTCCACTTAAAAAATTATAATAACAACTAATTAGGGCTGTCAAAATTATTGCGTTAACTCATGTTAATTACAGTTTTCATTAACGCGTGAAAAAATAAATAAAAAATAAATAATGCTTTAATGTATGTCCGAATGACCCGCCCAGTTATCCATTATATCACTCAGAGCCGCGGACACATGCGTGTGTGAGATGGTGACAGAGCAGGTAGGCCCTCTGGGAATCCAAGTTTTAAAAGAACTTGGAAAGAAGGGCTTGACTGCGTTGTTTGCTGTATGAACTGAAGTCCGCCTCCCGGGGGCAGCTGCGGCCGCTCTCGTGTTAGCTGGCTGTGAGCCGCTAACAACAACACGGTGAACGGCAGCGCGGTAATGTAGTCATATAAGACCATACAAGCGCAGAACTATTCTCCGCATGTTGTGTGTGTGTCTTTGCATAACCTGTGCACTCAGTCTTTTGTGGTATTGAGTAGGATGTTATTGAGCTTTTATGATAGTAAAAGCTGCACATTCCTGGGCCTCCTTGCATGAACTACATGTCTGAGATTTCCCCCGATCTGTTAAAAGAGAGTTTATTTGACAATATGTGGCTTCACAAAACCAGTAATGATGACGGGGAAAGAAACTGTTTGTGTTTTCATTCTAAATCTGTAACATAAAGCCAAAACAATGACATATTTTTCTGATTTTGTAAACTTAAAAGCATAACTGGATCTCACAATTTGAAAAGCAAACATGGGGGTTTGGCTTGTATTCATTGGAATAGTGGTATGACATCCTTTGCTGCAGCTAATCAACAATTAATGTCAAAACAATGGGCCAATTAGCATATCTATGTGTTTGTTGTTTTGTTGTTTTGCTTTTCATATTTCACCAGTAGTGCCTTTAATTTCACTCACTGTAGTGGTTGGCAGTGTACAGCATCTAATTTGCAATCATTCCCTTTTCCAACGCAAAAAAACAAACAAATATTTAAGCGCATTGTGCCTCTTTTGGGATCATATTGGCTTACTATTATGTCAAAAGCGGCATGTTTGTTCACCTTTGTTTTGTACATGTGTAGGGATGTAAATCGGTGACCGTTTAACCGGTTGTTGACCGTCACAGCGTTAACCGGTCAAAGCTGTCGGTTAAAAAAGAGAAAAGGGGGAGAGGGGAGGTCTCTTCATAACGCTATTTTAAGCCCTATTTGCACGATGTGACGAGCGGGTCCCTATCTAGCTGTGTGCGCCAATGTAACAGTAAACTCCGGGCCGACTCTCACGCCGTACGTGCCACATATGCACGCACACATGTACACGCACACACACACACACACACATTTTCCCCCCCTCCATTGACACGTAACATCCACACGCATCATCTCTCCCCTCTGTTACCGCCTGCTAGTTGCACACTGGTGCGGGTCAGAACTACATTGGAGCTTATATTTACACACACATACATACATGTATTGCACACATATACACACATACATACATGTATTGTAAACACACACATACCGGTCTGTCGCGCTCCTCTGTGTCACGGAGCCCAAAGCATTCTTGCAAATACACGGCTCCAGTCAAACCACATGGAGCATGTTTGTGCTGCTGGTCCTTGGCATCAGCTCCACACTGATCACTTTTAAACTTTAGCGGAAACCTGCGAGACGCGGCTCGTCACTCGCTGCCCTGACCATGTGGACGAGCTGTCTTTTGCTTAAAAATGCTTTAAGCCGCAGC